ATAAATTTAAATTTTTTACCAAAGTTTATAAATTTTAAAATAAGTAAAGTGTTTTTCAAGAGCACAAAAATAATGAAGCTAAATGCCATAAAAAAGAAGAAAAAATGTTGAATTTTAAGAAATTCGGTTTTTGGAATTTTTGCTAATTTTCCATAATTTATATTTTTTACCAAAGGTTGGAGACTATTAAATAAGTAAAATATTTTTGAAGAGCACAAAAATAATGAAGCTAGATGCCATAAAAAAAAAGAAAAAATGTTGAATTTTAAGAAATTCGGTTTTTTGAATTTTTGCTAATTTTCCATAATTTTAAATTTTTTACCAAAGGGTGGAGAATTTTTAATAAGTAAAGTATTTTTAAAGAGCACAAAAATAAGGAATCTAAATGCCATGAAAAAGAAGAAAAAATGTTAAATTTTAAGAAACTGGGTTTTTCGAATTTTTGATAATTTTTTATTTTTTGCTAAAAGGTGGAGACTATTCAAATAGTAATATTATACTACCGAAATAGCTATTGGTAACTAATTATTAATTTTCCGGTCAAATTAAATTTTCGGCTTTTTTCTGATTTTACAGATTGGTAGAAACATTGTTAAATGTATTGGTAGAAACTAAAACCCGTCGAAGACGGGTACGACAGCTAGTCATAAATAATATTTATTTTATTTCTCCATTGTACACTTTACATAAGTTTTACAATATACTTTTCCGCAATATACTTAAATTTAAAATATCTTATAAATAGTAGTATATACATTAAATCACATCAGTTAGATTGAACTTCGTTTAAACAAATAAATCATAAATAATAATAATAATTGAAAATACAAAAATAAATAATAATTGAACTTTAAAGAATATGAAATTAAGATTATTTTAAATAATTTAATTCTTAAGAAGAGACTTCGACTGGATTTTTAACTATATATCAAGAAAATGATTTAAATCTATACTATAAAATTATTTTTATAATAAATTTCTTGAGAAACATTCTGAAAATATTAAAACAAAAAAAAAAAAATATTAAAAATCCGTATTTTGTAGAAAATCTGTTTTAGACAATAATTTATTGTAAATTATTTAGTTCTTAAAGAACTGCGGCAAAAAAATTATTACTTATAAAGTATTGCTTCCTCATAGGAGGAAGTATTTAATAAATACATTTATATTGAAAAGTTCCTAAAACAATATAATTTTATAAAATTCTTCACAAAAATTCCATTCTGTTTAAAAAGCTAAAAAAATTCTAGTAAGAAATTTAATAATTTTTTAAAATAATAAAATTTTTCTTCGAAATTAAATTATTTAAAAAAAAAATCTAATAAAATTCCAGGCAAAATTTCAATTATTATTTTAAAAAATTTCACAGGAATTCAATTATTTTCATAAATATAATAACATTTTTTAATTCAATTTTAATGCAATTATTATTCTTTAAAATTCTTCGTCAAAATTCAATTATTTTCATAAATTATCATAAATTAAATTCGTTGCAAGAATTGAATTATTTTCATAAATATAATAAAATTTTCAAAACAATTCAATTATTTTTAAAACCTGTAATTTTAATTAAATATTTATTTTAGTATTAAGATGATGAAAAAAAATCGATCACTCCGAGTCAGGATTCAAAAAACAAAAAAGAAGTAATTTCTTTTAACGTTTCAACAGCACGGCTGTCCTCTTCAGAAACGTAAGAAAAAATTATAAATCATTTAAGTCACACATTGCTTATTACAAGACGAACGTCTTCGTCGAAGCAAGAACGATTAGACACTAATTTATTTGAGTAGTTAGTGGTTGTAATTTTTTGGAAGAAAATCAATGATCAGAAAATATTCAGACCCTTTTTAGATTTTGATTTTTCTTAAAAATTGATAGATATTTTTAAATCCATCTGTACTCTCTAAATCTGAATATGTGAAATTTCACTTATTGTACGTTATAAGTCGTCCTCTCGATCAATAAGTGCATATACACTTATAAATAAGTGAATTTTTCACTTATTCTGAGTGAAATTTCACTTATTATAAGTGTATATGCACTTATTGATCGAGAAGACGACTTATAACGTACAAATATGTGAATTTTCACATATTCAGATTTAGAGAGTAATTTTGTGGAAAATATATTTTTTGTATCTACAAAAAAATTGCCGAATGGAGAAACTGATTTACAATAATTTTGAAGCATTTTTTTTTAAACATTGTTTTTAGGTTGAAAATGCTAAAAAATACCATTGTTATTTAATTTATTTTACAGTGAAACCTGTCGAAATGCAACTCGATTTTTTTAATTTTATTACAGTAAACAATCTTAAAAAATTTTTTTTATAAATTAAATTTTTTAACATTTTGACAATACTCTGGAACTATAAGTGAAAATAATTCTTGTTAAACATTTTAAAATAGAAAAAATTTTTAAAAATTAATTTAAAATTTTTATTTTTTAAATTAATTTTTCCATATTTTATATTTTTTGTTTAAAAAAAATTTTATTTGAAATTAGTTATAGAGAAATAAGCAAGTGAATTTAAATAATATAAAAAATCGAAAAGATAAAAATGATATTTTTTAGCATTTTCAGCCTAAAAACAATGTTAAAAAAAATTCTTCAAAAATTGTAAAAATCAATTTTTTCATTAGTTAATTTTTTTTAGATACACAAAAACATATTTACTACAAAATTACAACTAGATTTTAAAATCTATCAATTTTTTAGAAAAATTTTTCAAAAATACTGAAATTACGTATACAGAAAAATATTCATCTGCATTATTATTTTTGAAAAATAATTCAAATTATTTGGAAACTGTACCTACATTGAAGTCAAGAAATTGTACACTAAAAATAGCGTAAAGTATTTTAAATCATATTGAAGTAAATGTGAATTATCGCAAATTATGTATAGACTGATTAATTATTAAAACGAAATAAGATTAATTTTGAATTAAATTTAAAAAAAATATAAAAATTATTCCTACGTGAAATTATTTTTTTTGACGTTAAAAATACAAATTTTGAAATTCAAAGAATTTATTAAAGTATAAGTATATAGTTTTAACTTTGATATTTTATTTTCAATTTCCTAAAATATTCTACACTATTTTATTAAAATGATACTATTATTTACCGAATTTATTATTTGCAGAAAAATTTTGTTTACATGTCCAAGGCATTGCTTCTTGGTAATAAACGCAGGTTTATTTGTAAATTTGCATGTTTGTTTGCAAAAAATACAAAATTCACATTTATCAACAAAAACTGTTGACAATTTCAATATTTTACACACAAAACATAAATAATTTATTAATTATACTTGAATCTAGAAAAAACTTTTTATTTAATTTAAAGAAAATCAGTATTTTTTATAGACTCGTTTTGATTCATTCAAAATAAATGTTTCTTTCAAACAAAAAGAGGGTTTTTTATTAGGAAAAAAATTTTTCTTTGACTCAACAAAATTTTTTTAATTTAAACAAACTTTTCTTGATTTAAACAAATTTTTTTGGAATATTTAAGAAATTTGTTCTTTAGAGATGAAAGTAACTTTATCACTGATATATATATATATATATATATATATATATATATATATATATATATATAGGAAAATATATTTATTTCAAAGAAATAATTCTTTAATTTAAAAAGAAAAATTTCATTGAAATAAATAAATTATTGTTTTTGAATCAATTAAATTTTCTTTGTATCAAATAAACTTTTTTTTGAATCAAAGAAAAATTAATTTTCAATCAAAGAAATAAGTCAAAGCAAATTAATTCTTAAAATAGACAAAAACTTTTTTCTAGGTGTGTATTATTAAAAATTATATAATTGACAGTTGCATTATAATTACACTATGAATAATTAAAATTAGTATAAAAAAATAAAAATATACAAATTCGAATAAAAGAAAAATTAAATAATTATTAAAAATAAGTAAAGGGCACTTTCCGTTTATCAATAAATTAAGTAAATTGAATTGAGATCGAATAAATTTAATAAATTAATAAATTAATAAATTAATTAATAAAATAATAAATTAATAAAATAATATTCAAATAAAAATAATGAAAAATTACATAATTGCAAATAACAAAACGACATTTTTCAATTGAAAATAAAAACATGCAAAATATTATAAAATTAATTAATTACCACCATTTTAAATCTTATTAATTTTCCAAATTCACTTAAAATTAATTATAATATTTATTGTATGACTAATAAATGGGCTTCTTTAAATGAATTACCGAGAGAATATATTCTGAGATATATTGTATCATATCCTGTAAAAGATAAATTTTCCTATTTATCCAGGAAATTGTTTGTGTCCAATTAGACAAAAATCTGTCTAAGCCAATAGAATTCATTCTGTCATTTTCCCCTTATTATCGCAACTTGTTCGACATTTTTTTCCCTCCCTTTGCGTGAATTTATTTTGGCAGTTGGCCATTCAGACAATTCGCCCACACAAGCAAAAAAACATTCTCTCAAAATTCTCAAAGTTATAATTTCAATAAAAGTTGTTTTCAGTCTCTCATTAATTGTCTTATTAATTATGTAGAATAATATTAATAACAACAGTAGTAATAATAATAATAAAAAGAATAATAATAATAAGAGTAATATTAATTTATAAATATATTCTTTCTGATTTCAAAACAAACAAGTAATTCGATAATAGACTCCCTGTGAAAAGTCAGGTTTAGTATTGTCACGCATAACCGGTTGCCTTTCACCAGGCGCAATTTTCAATCCAATCTAATTAAATTGCAAAATAAAACTTTAAACCCAATGTTTACGAACACTGAATGTGATTAAATCAAATAACTCAATAATTATTCTGGAAAGTAGAAAATTTCTTTTAGAAATCAAATTTATTTGTGAAAATAGGTCAACTTTTTCAGTTCCAGATTCAAATAGACCGCGCCGTTTAGAAATTGGCAACACTGCACGCTCTCTTCCCCCACTCTTCAAATCCCGCCACGCCAAAGCAGAACGCGGTCAAAGACGCCATTTTACATTTGGAGAAGTATTCCGTGATAATTTACAAGGAGAAATAAAACGTAATTACGTCAAAGTATTGCAATATTCTTTTTCAGTTTCCTGTAAAAGTCAATCAATTAATGGTGCTTTAATAATCGATCGTATTAATTTGTGAAGTTTTTTTTCTATTAGCGGTGATAACGTATCGAATAAAAATTGTGAATAGTCGGAGAAGACGCCTGGTGCCATTGTGCCCTGAGGTAACAGATTTCTTTTTTAAAATAAATTATTTTTTGTTATTATTTTCCAATAGTGGGTGTTTGGATTATATGACTAGAAACTCTTTTTTTGATTGTGTGTCTCGGGAATTTTATTCGTCTTCTTTTTGTATGAAAGTAATTGTGAAAGCATTAGTTGAAATTTGACATTTTTTTACATTATTGCTTCGCCATTGCGGTCCGATAGTCAGTCGAAAATGTGGCTTCGTATATATGTAGGATCAATAAATTTGTCTTGTATATACATGTAGAAGGTTGTATACAGTCATAGTAGAGAATTTTTGTCGTTAACCTTATCTTTACGGTTAAGTGCTGATCTTGAGGATCATTTTTCATTATCAATGACGTTTTGAAAAAAGAATAGTTAAAGCGAGGAATTAGCAAGGACTTTTTTAAACTTAAATTTTCTATTCAACGAAAATGTAATATTTAGTGGTTTATAACTTTTGGAGTAATAGAAATCGATATTCAATGATTATAACGATTGTAACACTGGGTCAGGTAAAAAAGTGATTATCAGTTTCTGATAAAAAAAACTGTAATAGTTATAAAACAAGGTTGAGTGGAATGTTTAGACGAGAATGGTTTTATTTTGCAATTATCTGTTTTTACCGATTGTTTTTTTATCCTTTGGCAAAAATTACAATACTTGAAGTATGAATATCAAAGAGAACTTCTTTATTGTAATAATATGTCCCGGAAGTTCTGAACGTTCAACGTTGTCACAGGTCAGGGAAATCAGAGGAAAGTCTGAGAAAATAGAATTGGTCAGGAAAATCAAGGGAAAGTCAGTGAATTTTATTAAAAGTACAGGAAAAAATTTAATTTTTATAGAATCCATAACAAAGTTCTGAATTTTTGTGTCTTGAAAATTTTGGAATTATCAAGAATTTTAATACAAAACTTTAAATTTCTTCTATTTTGGACAATAATTTATTGTAAATTATTTAATTCTTAAAGAACTGTCAACAAATTATTACTTAAAAATTATTCAATAAATAAATTTACTTAAAAATTTCAAAATTAATTGAATATTATAAAATTCTTTGCAGAAATTCAATTCTGTTCAAAAATTTAAAAAAAAACTCGTCAAAAATTCAATTATATTTATAAATAAGAAAATTCTTGTCCAAAATTAAATTATTTTCAAGAATTTTAATAAAATTCCTGGCAAAATTTCAATTATTTTTAAAATTTTCACCGGAATTTAATTATTTTCATAAATAATTAAATTCTTCGCAGAAATTCAATTCTGTTCAAAAATTTAAAAGAATTCTCGTCAAAAATTCAATTATCTTTATAAATAATCAAATTCTTTTCCGAAATTCAATTATTTGAAAAAGTTTTAGTAAAATTACTGGCAAAATTTCAATTATTTTTTTAAATTTCACAGGAATTCAATTATTTACAAATTTTTTTTTATAAATTTTTTCACACTAATTCAATTATTTTCATAAATAAAATTATTTTTTACAGAGATTCAATTATTTTTACAAATAATGAATTTCTTCGTTAAAATTTAAATATTTTCAATAATTTTAATTCAATTCTTTAAAATTTTCATAAAATTCTTCAAAAAAATTCGATTATTTTCAAATATTTTAAGAAAATTTTTCCTAGGAATTTAATTATTTTCATAAATAATACAATTTTTCCAAAAAAATCGAATCTGTTCAAAAATTAAAAAGAATTCTCGTCAAAAATTCAGTTATATTTATAAATAATAAAATTCTTTTTCAAAATTCAATTATTTAAAAAAAATGTTAATACAATTCTAATTCAATTATTCTTTAAAATTTTCATAAAATTATTCAAAATTTTTTTATTATTTTCAACTATTTTAATTAAATTTTTATCAAGAATTCATTTATTTTCATAAATAATAAAATTCTTCCCGAAAATTCATTTATTTTCACAAATATTAAAATTCTTCGCTGGATTTCAATTATATTTTTTAATTTAATTGTATGTAATTCAACTATTTTCAAAAATGTTAATAAAATGCTTCGTAAGAATTCAATTATTTTGACAAATAATAAAATTTTTCACAGGAATTCAATTATTTAAAGAAAATATCAAATTCTTCGCAGAATTTTAATTATTTTTAATTCAATTTTAAGTGGATTTTTTTACTACTTTAAATAAATTCATTAAAAGATATGATTTTAAAAAATTTTATTAAAATTCTTCGAAAAAAGTAAATTGTTTTCAAAAATGTTAATAAAATTCTTTATATGAGTTTTTTTTATATTCGTTTTCAAATAATTGTCTTCTCGTAGAATTTTCTAATAAATATTGATTTAAAAATTAATTTCAGTTAAAATTTTAGATAATAATTGAATATTAACAGAATTGTAGCACAAATTTTTAGTAATAATTGAATTTTAAAATGGTTTCAAATTAAAATCTTTTAATATTTTAATTTTTTATACTATTAACAACTAACAATTCTCAATTATGTAGAATTAATTTTTTTTGAAAGTTCTAGAAAGTAATAAATGAATTTAAATTTCAAAATTATGAAAAAGTTATGGTAACAATATTCTTATAATATTAAATAATTAATTTATCACTCGATAATCTTTAATTATTAGAAAACATGAAGAAATCGATGTCAGCGATTTCTTTATGTTTTACAATAATATTAAAAAAAAGTCAAAATTTTGTCTGGAGATTAAAAAAAAATAAGGAAAAAACAAAAATAAATTTTTGTGTCAACCCTGATAATATTTTTAAACTGTTAAATATTTCCTTTTATTTGAACGTTCAAAACTTGTGGATAAGATGTGAAAACTGGAACTAACAATGAATTTTTTTTCTAGGTTTCGTGACATATGATCAAACAAGATGTACGGCAACAATATTGATCCCTGGGAACCAGGTTACGGTCCAGAGAGAAGGACACATAATTCAGAGTATAATGATTATCGCAATGAATATGGAAATAATCGATCACCCGAATATATAGAGCATCGTGACATTGATCACAGAGATCGCGATCATCGTAGTCCAGACTATAGGAGTCATCGGAGTCGTGACAGAGACCGTGAACGTGAACGCTCCCGTGACCGACGTGACAGAAGCCGAGAGGATCGTGATCGTAGTTATCGAGACAGAGACGACAGATACACATCGCGACAAAGGGATCGCGGCGATTCAGTTGAGAGGGAACGAGATCGTGATCGTGACCGTGATCGAGATCGTGAACGTTCACGCAGAGACAGGGATCGCGATAGGGAGAGGGATCGTCGGGGTAAAAGGGATGATCGAGATCGTGATCGTGACGATGAGCATGGTCGTGAACAAACTGACTATGAGCATGATCATCGTGCCTATGGGTCATCGTTGGAGGGCGTTCACTACAAATCGCAATCTCCCAACAACACCATTATGATTCGTGGTCTCGCTCAACATATTACTGAAAATGACGTAGGTTGTCAACTTAAAATGGCCCCAATAACTTTGAGGCCAAGCGTGAGTTTGCGTACGGATGTCTAAAATCTGTATTATCACTATACTTGAATGTGTGTATCACAGGTGCGGCAAGACATCCTCAACTGTGGTCTCATGCCCAAGGACATCAGGCTCATCAGGAAAAAGGATACAGGTAAATATCTTCATTTACACTTTCCACCTTAATTGTTCTTTTTTTCATCGGCATCATTTACCGTTTCTTTTCCTCTTGAAATATCATCGTGTTCATTTGTCCGTGCGTATATTTCTAAATTTTAAAAACTAATCCTGTACTCTTTAACATGAATGTATCGTCAAACATACATTACATGTTCTCAGGTAAGTTTATCGTACAGGGTAAGTTTATCCAATATTTGTATTCCAAACTTTTTACTGTAAAGATGTTTTCTTTTTAGAGAATTTTTTCTAACATTCAGGCCTCGGATTTTGTGACTTTTTTTTAGACTATTTTCCAAAAATGTGACTTCTTTTCGACTTATTTTAAAAAATTGCGACTTTTTCGACTTTCCTTCCAAATACTACAACAAAATACCACATTTTTAGTATAAATTGCAAATTATTTCGATTTTTCTAGTGTGGAAAATAATTATAGACAAATCTTTCAAAAATTATTTTTGTATAATTTTTCTAATTAGATTTTCAAAATATCAGGCTTTGCACTCATATACTAAAACCTGCTTCAATTATTTTCATAAAAATAACAAAACTCATCGAAGAATTTAAATTATTTTTAATACTATGTAAAATTAATTAATCGAAACATTCAATTATTTTCACAAATAAAGTTTTGCACAAGAATTCAATTATTTTAAAATAAAATGTTCATAATATTTATTATATTTCTAAAAAATTAATTATTTAAAACAATGTTTATAAAATTTTGCACATAAATTCAATTCCTATTAAACATTTTAATAACATTTTTCGCAATAATTCAATTCTTCTCATAAATAATAAAATTCTTCTCAGGAATTCAATTATTTTTGAAAATTTTAATAAAATTCTTTGCAACTGTTCAATTATTTTCATAAAAAAAAAAATTCATCGCCAGATTTCTATTATTTTTAATACAATTTTACAGGAATTGCTCAAAAAATGTAATTATTCTTAAAAATTTGATTTCAATTCCTCGAAAAAGTCAATTATTTAAAAAAAGGTTTTTTTTAAAATTCTTTGGAAGAATTCAATTATTTACAAAAATATTAAAATTTTTCACAGGAATTCAATTATTTTCAAATATTTTACTAAAATTGTTCAAAAGAAATCAATTATTTTAAATAGAATTTTAATTATATTTTTTTGAAGTAATTCAATTATTCTTTCAGATTTTAATAAAATTCTTCCCAAGAATTCAATTATATCGATAAATAACAAAATTATTCCCGAAAATTCAATTATTTTGAGGCATTTTTAGAAATTTCTTTGCAAAATTCAATTATTTTTATAAATAACAATATTCATCACAAGAATTCAATTATTTTTAAAAGTAATGAATTTTTTCTTGGAAATTCAATTATTTTAAAAAATTCTAATAAAATCGTTCGCAAGAATTCAATTATTTTTATGTATAATAAAATTCTTTTTAGAAATTTTTAAACGAAATTTAATAAAAATCCACACAGACATTAAATTATTCTCAAAAATTTTAATAGACATCTTTGGGGCCGTACACATAATACGTCACGCGATCAGGGGGAGGGGGGGGTCAAGACATTTGTGACGACCTATAGAAAAAATGGCGCTAATATATGGGACAGTGTGTGACATGGGGGGAGGGGGGGTCTAAAATGGTCAAAAATCGCGTGACGTATTATGTGTACGGCCCCTTTGTAAAATTTAATTATTTTTAAAAACTTTTCGCAGTCCAATGATTTTCAATATCTACTATTTTCATAAAATTTCCAAACAGAATTCAATTATTTAAACATTTTTTTTGTAAAAATTTTAATAAAATCCTTCACAAGAATGAAATTATTTTTATAAATATTTAAATTCTTTAATGAATAATAAAATTCGTTGCAGGGATTCAATTTATTAGCAGAATAAAAAAGAAGTAAATATTTTTTTGGTAAAATGTTTTTTTGGTCGTCATGTTTAATTTTTCGATAGCTACTTTTTACTACTTTTTTTAGTTTGAAAGTAACTTTTTGCTACTTTCTTAAAATTAATTATCGAGTGCGAAGTCTGAAATATACAATTAAAAAGATTTGGAATAATTGAAATTTTGTAAAATTTAATTGAAAATAATTGATTTTTTTCAAGTATTATTATTACAATTTTTTAAAATCAACTTTTGAAGAAATTTAATTGCAAATTTTGTGAAAATAAAATTGAATTCTCAAAACAATTTAATGAAAAATCTTCAAGTGTAAATTTATGAAAATGTAAATTAATAAAAACTAGCTTCTATAAAATAATGTGCGATTCCATGGGAGATTTCAGCTTTTTCGGAGTAAGTAAACCAATTGCAATGAAACTTAGGAATTTCAATCTACACATAAAAAGAAACATTTTCATCAAATATTACGTCAAAATATTCAGTAGTTTTTGAGATGTCAAAATTTTGGAAAAATTTTGAAATCGTTATATCTTCTTTCCATCTTAACCAAATCACTTAATTCTTTTTGGAAAAAATTCAGCATAAAAAAACGAAAAATTTTGTTATATTATGTTTATAAAAAATTTTTATAAACAAAAAAGTTATTAAATAATAATTGAATAACTTTTGCACGACTAAACGAAATTGAATGAGGCAAACACTAAACAAATCTTCGCTCTGGTTTTTTTAAGATTCCGAAAAAAACATGGTACATCACGAAACATTTCTATACAATATTTTAATATTTTTGTTCACTTTTAAGCGTAAACATTAGAAGTTTCTGCTACTTTACGTGAAAATTCAGGTGCGCGCGCAGACCTCTCTTTCTAATCATCTACGAATTTCCGGTTTCAGAGAGAGAGGTCTGCGCGCGCACCTGAATTTTCACGTACAGTAGCAGAAACTTCTAATGTTTACGCTTAAAAGTGAACAAAAATATTAAAATATTGTATAGAAATGTTTCGTGATGTACCATGTTTTTTTCGGAATCTTAAAAAAACCAGAGCGAAGATTTGTTTAGTGTTTGCCTCATTCAATTTCGTTTAGTCGTGCGAAAGTTATTCAATTATTATTTAATAACTTTTTTGTTTATAAAAATTTTTTATAAACATAATATAACAAAATTTTTCGTTTTTTTATGCTGAATTTTTTCCAAAAAGAATTAAGTGATTTGGTTAAAATGAAAAGAAGATATAACGATTTCAAAATTTTTCCAAAATTTTGACATTTCAAAAACTACTGAATATTTTGACGTAATATTTGGTGAAAATGTTTCTTTTTATGTGTAGATTGAAATTCCTAAGTTTCATTGCAATTGGTTTACTTACTCCGAAAAAGCTGAAATATCTCATGGAATCGCACTAATATTAAAATTTTTTTTTAAAAAGTAATTCTTAGAATTTTTTTTATTATAAATTTTTAAAATTCTATTATTTTCAATATTTTCAAAAAACATGAAAATTTTTCAGAATAATTTTTATCATTTTGGAGAAAACAATCATTGTGGAAATTTTTAATTAAAATTGTTCAAAAAATTACTTTGTTTTTTTCATAAATTAAACAAAAATTCTTTTAAGAAATTCAATTATTTTCTAAAAATTACATTAGAATATTTTTAAAAAACTAATTCTTAGATTTGTTTTATCATAATTTTTTAAGATTTACTTATCTTCTAACAAAGTAAATTAAATTGTTTTTAAATTTACTTCTTTAGATTCTTATTAAAATTAAATGAAAAATCATGTTTATATTTATAATTAAAATTCTTCAAAAATTTGATTATTTATTTTACATTTTTCAAAAATTCAATTATTGTTAAAAGATTTTGTCAAATTTCAATTATTTTTAAACGATTTTACCAAAATTCAATTGTTTTAAAAAGATTTTGTCTAATTGTTATTATTTTTAAAAGATTTTACCAAAATTCAATTGTTTGGAAATTTTTTATTTGTATATATATAATTGACAGACTATCTTTAAAAAATTATTTAAAAATAATTTTGTTTACAAATATTTTAAGAGTTTCTTTATTATAATTTGTTTAAAATATTATAAATAACAATAACTTTAAAAAAAACGTGGACAATAATTACAGTTGCAAGATAAAATTTTTGTTGCAATACTGAATTAAATAAACGACTTTTTTTGTATCTTTAATCGACTAAAGTGACTTTTTTTGTGTCTTAAAGTCGATCCAAGGCCTGAACATTGGGAATACAAATTTTCTTTTTGAAAATAAATCGGAAATAAGTTTTAGAATACTAATTTTTAGCCAATTGTTAAAAACGTTAAAGTCGATCGTTGAATCGAGAGAGAGATTTTTTTTTAACGTGGCTTAGTACTGCAAAACAAATAGGATTAACCGGGAAAGAAAAACAAGTGCCGAAAAGAAGGAACGCTTCGTTCGAAACTGAATCTGTCAATGGTTGGTGCTGTGATTGCCTGCCCTCTCAGAGTCTCCCAGGCAATAAACGTGGATTAACTTTGGATATGTGTGTATTTGCTCTGTATAGGTGCTTCGCGAGGTTTCGCTTTCGTCGAGTTTAACGCGACTCAGGAGGCCGCACGGTGGATGGAGATGAAACAGGTAGAAAGAAGTTCAATCCAGATACCCAACCGATGCGTTGCACGCGTGCCAACAACGCCCCGTGGCGGCATGGGCACGGTAACGCAGCCCACTGGCCCTTCACAATGGCCATGGCTGTTCACCTATTAAAGGCTACTTCAATATATCATTCCTAATTATTCATTTATCTTCAAATCCCCGCACACATCACACTTGACATTCTTTTTTTTTTTCAATTTTTTCCATTTAGATCAATCTTTTTTTTTTCTTAGAAAAATTTGTTCATGTTTTTTGCTATTTTTAATTGCAACATTACATTTGAAAGAAACAAATTTATTGCTCTCTGTAGGATGGTTCAAAATATTTTTCTGTTTTGATTTCTATGTCTTTTTTTGCAAATTTATTTATGGTGGAAAAAAAATTTGAATAAGGTAGTAACAGGCCTGGAATAGTATGACTTTTTATAAAATTGCTCGAAAAAATTAAATTTTTTTATAAATAAAATTTCTTACTAGAATTTAATTATTTTTAATGGAATTTCAATTAAATTACTTCAAATAATTTAATTATTTTTTTAATTTTTAATAAAATTCCCAAAAAAAATTAATTATTTGCATAAATAAAAGAATCTTATGCAAAAATTCAATTATTTTCATAAATAAGAGAATTTTTTCAGGAATTCAATTATTTTCTAAATTTTCCATAAATAATTCTTCAAAAAAACTCTTTTTTTTTAAAATTTTAATAAAATTCTTCGAAAAAATTCAATTATATATTTTCATAAGTAAGAGAATTCTTCGCAGACAATCAATTATTTTCAAAATTTTCATAAAAAAGTTTTCAAAAAAACTCAATTTTCAAAATATTAATAAAATTCTTTGCAAGATATCAATTATTTTCACAAATAATAAAATTTTCGCAGGAATTCAATTATTTTCTATGTATTTTGTTACATATTTCGGAAAATTTTTTAGAATCATTATTAAAACATTGAAAAAAATAATCACTAAAATAATTTTAATTAAAATTCTTTAGAAAATTAATTTGTTTATTAAAATGTCCAAAAACAAAGTTGTTATTTTTATAGATAATTAAATTTGAAACGGTTCAAAACTAAAATTATAAAAATTGTCATTCCTGTGAAAAAAGTATTTAAATAATTATTTTAAAAAGTTATTACCGTTTTGAATTATTTAATTTAGAAATCAGGGAAAGATCAAAGAAATAGAAAATAAAAAAATTTTAAATACTTGAATTTTTGAAAAGTTTTATTGAAAATAATTGATTATTTTAATTATTTCTATAAAAGTTTTGATAATGAAATTTCAAGGAATTTCCAGAGAAAATTCTGGAAATAATTGAATTCTCAAAAATTGTAATGAAAAATCATCAAATGAAAATTAGCTTCAAAAAATTATATTCAAACATTTTTCGAGAAAAATAATTTATTTTTTGCAAAATTTCATTATATTATTGATTTAAAAATACTTATTTTTTGTGATTTTTAAGAGTTACAGTTACAATTATTATTAAAAAATTCAATTTTTTTATTTAAATAATTGAATTCTTAAAGAACTGCTGGAAAATTATTAAAAATAATTAATTAAAAGAAGAATTTTCGTTAAAAATTCTAGAAAATGATTGAAATTAAAAACAATTGAATTTTAGACGTTTTTAAGTGAACTTTTCTTGTTTTTAATAATTAAATTCTCAAGAAAATGTTGTTAAAATTATTAAAAAATAATTGCTTTAGAAAAGAATTTTAATAAATAATTCTAGAAAATAGTTGAATTTTGGTTAAGTTTTAAAATTAGTTAAATAATTAAATTTCTGAAGGTTTGAAGTTGAAATTTTCTAAATTTTAATTCTCGTGGAAAAATAAAAAACATTTAAATAATTATTGAACGAAACTTTAGAATTTTCAAATAATTGAATTTAGAAGTCAGTAAAAGGTCAGGAAAATAAAAAATTAAATTTTTGTGGCAGCACTGAATAAACTAAATGAAATTGGCATTGATTAAAAATTAACAATTCTTGTTTTGTTTCGTCAAATTTTTTTCCAAACGACAAAAATTGTTTCTCTGCAAAAACGTTATTTGGGAGACTCAGAAATGAATTTAGATTCAACATAAATATTTAAATTCTAAATACAATATACAAAGAGTATGACAGTAAAATAATTAATATTGTTTCGAAAAAAAAAATATTGAACCATCCTATTGTCATGCATTTTCATATCCGCTTTAAAACAAAAAAAATTGCTCTACAACTTTTGTCAGCAATTTATGTTGTATTTAGTTGTAATAGTAAAAAAAAAAAAGAAATACTTTGCGGGGATTGAGAAATTTTTTCTTTTTGTGTTTGCATATGAAATTTTAATAAACATTAAAAATTAAAGATTTCGTAAATTTTGCTACACATTTTTTTAAATCACAAATTATTATTATTATTGATATTTCTATGGGGTTGGTTTTTTCATTTAAAATTTGCTTTACTGTTCGCTTTGAGCAGAAAGCTATGAAGTAGAAAAAATATATATATAAATTCCTCATCGAGATGCAAGAGTATGGGAAAAAATTAGAGATTAAGAATGACACTGGACAGGATAACACTGAAATCATCTGTTTCAGGGAGTGCTGATGCTTCAAGATCAATATCGTGCACTCATGCAGTACAGTATTCCAAAAGACGGCCATGTGGATAAACCACCCACCAAGAATACGCAAGATTGGCATTGCGTTAAAGTGAGTCTTTTCAAAATATGTACTTTAAACAATTAAATTACAGTAAAAAAAAATTTTTTTTTCAATGAGGCTGAAGTCCGCAATGTTTTTAAGTAAGGATTAATTTTTTTTAAGCTCCTTTTTTCTTTTTATTGAGAATTTAAAAAAAATTTAATTATTTTCAAAAATAACTTAATAATAATTTAAATATGCCAATAGTTAAAATAAAAAATTGTTTTTAAAAATTTTAATAAAAATCCTAGAAACGATTCAAATACTTCAAAAATTTTAAGTAAATTTTTCCCAAGTTTTTAAATACTTATTGAATACTTATTTTCACAAATAAGGAGTTTTTTTCGTTGAAATTCAATTATTTTTAATACCTACTATTTTTATAAAATTTTTCAAAAGAATTAAATTATTTTTTAGAAATTTTAATACAATATTCTCCGCAAAAAATTAATTAATTAAAAGCAATTCAAGTATTTTTCATACAATTTTAATTAAATTATTCCAAATAATTCAATTATTCTTTTAAATTTTAATAAAATTCTTCGAAAAATTTTAATTCTTTTCATAAATAAGAGAATTTTTTGCAAGAAATTAATTATTCTCATAAGTAAGAGAATTTTTTTCAAGAATTCAATTATTTACAAAAATAAGAGTTTTTCTCAAGAATTTAATTATTTTCAAAAATAAGAGAATTTTTTGCAAGAATTCAATTATTTTCATAAATAAGAGAATTTTTCGCAGGAATTTAATTATTTTCCTAAACTAGCTCCTCCGACGGCCGCAAGCGGCCGTCTACGGTGCTATTTTTTATATTTCCATTGTCCAAGTCCATTATTTCATTAATAATAATATTCAAATTTTTTCAGTTAATAATTTGCTTATTTATATTTGAAATGTTGACGTTTTTTTTGACAATGCAAAATAAGATTTGTTATGTGTACTTTCTCTTAACAAAAATAAAATTTATATATTCGCGCTCTTTTTAAATAACATACGACTGCAGCGCCACCTTCACATGTACAAACAATTTTAAAAACACCCTTCTATTAAGATTTTACATTCTCATTGCCCATTCTTTACTTCGATACTTTTCGATACATTCGACCTTTCCACTCCATGTCTTTTTTAAGAAAGGATAAGAGAATTTTTTCCAGGGATTTAATTATTTTTATAAATAAGACAATTTTTTTTACGAAATCAATTATCTTCAAAATTTTATATAAAAAATTCTTCAAAAAAACTCAGTTTTTAAAAATATAAGTAAAATTCTTCACAAGAATTCAATTATTTTAACAAATAATAAAATTTCTCACAGGAATTCAATTATTTAAAAAATTTTTAATAAATATCGTTGCAAAAATTCAATTAAATTATCATATCATAAATAATAAAATTCTTCGCAGGATTTCAATTATTTTTAATACAATTTTGAGTGCATTTTTTTACTACTTTAAAATAATTCTTTAAAAGATATGATTTTAAAAAATTTTATTAAAGTTCTTTGAAAAAAGTCAATTGTTTTCAATAATTTTGATAAAATTCTTTATAAGAATTCAATTTTAAGAAAGAATCAATTATTCTATCAATTTTTGTTATTCGCATTATTTTTCAAATGTTTCTCAATTCTGTAGAATTGTTTTTTTTTGTAAATTCTAGAAAATAATAATTGAATTTAAATAATTTAATTATCAGAAAAATTCCTAATAAGAATTGATTTGAAATTGAATTTCTGTTAATATTTTCGATAATAATTTAATATTAACAGAATTATAGCACAAATTTTTAGAAATAATTAAAAATTTTAATATTTCAATTTCAATTGAAATTTTTTCAAATTAAAATCTTTGAATATTTGAATTTTTCATACTATTAACTAATAATTCTTAATTCTGTAGAATTGCTTTTTTTAAATTCTAGAAAGTAATAATTAAATTGAAATTATGAAAACAATTGTGAATGAGTTACAGTAACAATAATTGTTCTTATAATATTAAATAATTAATTTTTCACTGCATCATCTTTAATTATTAGAAAACATGAAGAAATGAACATCGATTTCTTCATGTTTTACAATAATATTAAAAATGTCAAAATTTTTTCTTGAGACCAAGGAAAAATCAGGGAAAAACTAAATTAAATTTGAAAAAAATTAATTAATTTTCCCATTAATTGGAATTTGGAAATTTTGTGAAATTTAATTGAAATAAATTCTATATTTAAAAGAATTTTATTTTTTACTTTAAAAATATTTTTTTAAGCACAATTATATTTTAGAAGAATTTAAATAAAAATTCAGGGTTATGTCAGTAAAATGTCAGGGAAATTGATAAAGTCAATCTTGTGGCCACCCAAATTTAGAATTGAAGTTATCACCAGGATATGAAAATAGTGAATATTTTCGACTGAAATTAGGAAAATACAGAATCAAATTTTAAGTTTTCAATAGATATTTTTTTTTAATTAAAGAAAAATCATTTTCGATTTTTCGTTTTTAAAAACGTTGCGGAGTTTAGCCTGAATTTTGTTTAATGAAGTTTTAAAACAAAAATTTGGGAGAAATTGTTTTCAAATAAAATCAATTAATTCAAATGAAAATCAAATAATTGTCTTTAAGAAATCGAATATAATTTTCCATTCGTTTTTCGTTTCTAATGACGGGAATTAATTTTACAGTGTGGAGCTCATAATTTCAAACGTCGGGAGACGTGCTTCAAGTGCTCGGCATCGAGAGCCGAGAGCGAGGAAGGTGGCGAAGGCAGCGATGAGATCAGCTCTCATCCAACGAATACTGTTCTCCTTCGGGGTTTGGATGTCCTGACAACCGAGGACTCAGTCCTTCAGGCAATGACGAATCTTTCATCGATGCCAATTCGCAGCATTCGAATTGGAAGAGACACACTAACAAATACATCGAGGGGAGTTTGTTACTTGGAAATGGCGAACGTCGTCGACGCAATGTACCTTCATACGGCCCTAACGAAACAGGGATTGGTTGTCGACGGGAGAAATGTTGAGATTACTTATTGCAAACTTCATCAGGTGAATAGTACGAGTCTCTGGAAGCCGAGTGACGCACAAAATCACAGTTACACATTGGACGATGTGGCTAAACTCGCCGAGTACAGTGCAAATTTATATGCAAAAACACCGGCGCAGAAGGCACATTTTCTTCAATATTACACTCAATATTATCAGAATCAAATAACTCAGGGCAGTGCGATTACATTGCCGTCGATGAGTCAGACTGATCGTGTGAATGCTGCGGCAGCTGTTGCACAGTCGGCTATTCAGCAACTTCAGGCCTCGAGAAAATTGGGCGATTCGGATGAGACGAAGGGGAGATCGTCGACGGCAGCTTCTAGTAGTTCTACTTCTGGGAGAGTGCCTTCTACGGATGGCAAGACTTACTGTAAGCTTTTTCACTTGTCAAGAATACTTACTTTTTGATAACGCTACTGCGTTAAAAAGATTAAATTAAAAATAAAAAATAAATTAAAATTTATTTTGAAGTTCGAAGCGTTTTATAATCAAAGAAAATTAAAAGAACTTTCATTGAAAATTTAAGAGAGAAAATTATTTTTCTAGGCAAATTTCTGTAATCTTGTATGAAAACTTTTTTGCAAATTTTCTTTATTCAATATTTCCAAAAGAAACATTTATAAACAAAAAATAAATTTTTATAAATAAATATTATTTTCTTTGTGAAAAATATAAATTTTTTTCTGATTATAAATGTTGTAAATTTAGTAATAATTTAGTCTTTGTATTTTTATTTAATCAAAAATTAGAAAAACAACAATTTGAACTAAGAGGAAATTTTGTTCCAGCTGTTCCTGACATCAGTACGTATCACTATGACGAGTCTTCGGGATATTATTACGATCCAAGTACCGGCTTGTACTACGATCCTAATTCACAATATTACTACAACAGTCATACACAACAATTTCTCTACTGGGATGCTGATTCGATGCAGTATCTACCAGCTAAGGTAAAATTTGATTTTCATTCCTCGATGATATTGTACTTGAAAAATGAGAACAGGTCTCAAATAGTATGAGTTTTGGGCCATTTTTCAAATTATTTAGAAAAAAATACATATGACCATTTTCGACTCTTCTTCCAAATATTGCAACAAAATGCGACTTTTTTTAGAATAAAATACAACTCGTTTCGTTTCATCATCTACAAGTTTTGAATGTTCAAATGAACCAAATATTGTTCATTAAAAATAGTTTCGCTAATATTGATTGTAATAAAATTAAAAACTTAACTTTAACATTTAGTAACTTTATAATTAATTTTCTATATGAGATGAAAAATTATTGTAAACATTTTAATTTGAAGAAGACATAATTTTCCCAAAGTTTTGAACGTTTAAATGAACGAAATTTTTGTTCTGTTTAAATATTTTAAAAATTACTATAAAAAAAGAATAGTTTAAGATAATTAAATTTTCAAAATATGTAATTCAAAAGTTTTTAAATAATTAAATTCTTGAACAATTTTTTTGAAAATAAATGATTATTATAAGAGGCATTCCATTTCAAATCGTTCTACCGACAAAAAACAATCGCAAGGAGAGCGATTTTCTAATAAATATAATTATTTAAAAATTTAATTATTTGTAACATATTATACACTGAATCGAAAGAGAATTTCATGAACTTTATAATGCTATTTTTATTTTTTAAAATTTTTCTCAATTTCGTAGAAAAATTCCTGTTTGAAAGTTTAAACTCTTAATATCTCAAAACACCCCCCCGTCGATTTTTATCAAAATTATATGAAAATAAAGCTTAACTTTTCTAGTTTCCATTCCCGTATAATATATTATGGACATTTAATGGGATTAATAGAAAAAAAATTGTTTAAAAAATGTGTTTTTGAAAAATTTGACAAATGGCACGAAGTTGTTGTCAAATTTTTCAAAAACACATTTTTTAAACAATTTCTTTTCTATTAATCCCATTAAATGTCCATAATATATTATACGGGAATGGAAACTAGAAAAGTTAAGCTTTATTTTCATATAATTTTGATAAAAATCGACGGGGGGGTGTTTTGAGATATTAAGAGTTTAAACTTTCAAACAGGAATTTCTCTACGAAATTGAGAAAAATTTTAAAAAATAAAAATAGCATTATAAAGTTCATGAAATTCTCTTTCGATTCAGTGTATAATATGTTACAAATAATTAAATTTTTAAATAATTATATTTATTAGAAAATCGCTCTCCTTGCGATTGTTTTTTGTCGGTGGAACGATTTGAAATGGAATGCCCCATAAGTATTTAATTAAAATTTTTGACAATCAAATTTTGAAGAATTTTAAATACAAATTTTATTGAAAATAATTGATTATTATAAGGATTTAATTAAAATTTTTGACAATCAAATTCTGAAGAATTTTAAATAAAAATAATCGAATTTTCAAAAATTTGAATGAAAAATTTTCAAATGAAAATTAATTTTATAACATTATATTAATATGTTTTTTGAAAAAAGTAAATTGTTTAATGACATTTTTTAAATCTAATTTTTAGAATTATTAAAATTTTGGAGAAATTTATTATTTTGATAATTTTGTAATCCACATTTTTATTGATATGAATATATTCTAAAAATTTTAATTGCAATGAAAAGTAAAAACAAAATTGAATAATTAACAACTTTATAATTTAATAAAATTTCATTTAATAATTTATTAAAATTCCTGGGAAAATTGATTAGTTTTTTAAATTAGAATATTTAAAATAAACTAATTCTTGGATTTTTTTATCATAACTTTTTAAAATTCAATTTTTTTCCGAAAAGTAAATTAAAATTTTTTAAAAATTCAATTTTCTTCCGAAAAGTAAATTGAAGTTTTTAAAAATTCACTTTTTTGTAGATTTACTATTAAAATTTTGGAGAAATCATGTATTTTCATATTTGTAATTAAAATTCTTCAAAACTTCATTATTTTTTAGAATTTTTTAGAATTTTTTTAATATAGTTTTTTACAAAGTCAATTTTATTATTTTCAATATTTTTGGTTAAAGTTTTTCTATAATTTATCTTAACAAATTAAAAAAGCAGGAAGAGTGTCAGTTACAATTATTATAAAAAATTGAATTTTTCTATTTAAATTCATGAATTCTGGAATAAGTTTCTAAAATTTATTAAAATTAATGAATTTAGAGAAGAATTTCAGTTGAAAATTCTGTATAATAATTGAATATTGGAAGAGTTACAGTAAAAGTTTTCAAAAAAAAAAATTTCGAAATGTCTCAAATTAAAATTTTTAAAAATTTGAATTTTAAGTAATTTTAATTAAAATTAATTGAATTTTTGAAAATATATCATTTAATTAAGAAGCTTTCGAATAATAGAAATTTCGTAAAATTGAATTGAAAACAAATCTGATTTTAGCTAATGAGTAAATTTTATTTTTTAAATAAAATTAAACTCTTGAAGAATTTTCTCAAAATTATGAAAAACAATTGATTTGAAGAAGAAGTTTCATTAAGAATTGTAGAAAAGTATTAAAGGTTGAAAGTGATACAGTTGTAATTTTTAGAAGTAAAATTAAATTTCAAAAGTTTTTAAATAAAAATTTTGTAATATTTTATTTCCTGTGAAAAAGTAAGTATTTACATATTTATCTAACAAAATTATAGGAATTTTGAATCTTCCTGAGGTTTCACTGATTTCTTAATTCAATTATTGAATTTAGAAATCAGTGAAAAGGAAGATTTTAAAGTAAATTCAAAACTTGAATAATTTTTGCTAGATAAATATTTAAATACTTATTTTTTGACAGGAAATAAAATTTAAAAAATTTAAATTTCTTCTGAAATTTAATTACTTCTAAAAATTACAACTATATTCGAAGCCTGTGAGAATAAAAATCTCCAGATTAGAAAGATTTAATGGACCCAAGGTCTTGATGATATTTTATCAGTTTTCTGATGCAATGCATTTTAATAAATTTACAGACATCACCGACTCAAATTGGACCAGCTGTAACTCCATCGACAGTTGTGATTGGAGCAGAGCCAACGACAAATCCAAATGCATCGCAAGATTTACTGAAAGATGATGAGAGTAAAAAGAAGGAAACAAAACAAGATAAAGTGAAGGTCGCAAAGAAGATAGCAAAGGATATGGAGCGCTGGGCAAAGACATTGAATCAAAAGAAAGAAAATGCGAAAAGTAATTGGAGTTCGGAGTACGTGGGACCGGATGGACAACAAGGTTCCGGCAGTGGTGCTGCAGATGCTGGTTATGCAATTCTAGAGAAGAAGAATTTATCCACCGTTTATCTCGATGAGGAGGAGCAAGCGAAGAATAATGGACTTGTCGCCGCTTACGGTGGCGGTAGTGACACCGAGGAGGAAATCGAAGACGTTCAACAGGAAGATAAACAGCACACCGATTGGATTAAAATTGCCTGCCTACTTTGCAAACGTCAATTTCCCAGTAAAGAAGGTTTGGTGCGACATCAACAATTGTCAGAGCTTCACAAACAAAATCTCGAGCAATGGTACAAAGTTCGTGGCCTAGATCCAAATGATCCTCAGCAGAGAAATAATAAATATCGCGACAGGGCAAAGGAGAGAAGGGCAAAATACGGCGAACCAGAACCACCGCAACCGAATAAATTGAAGGAGAAATTTTTGAAAACGAGAGTAGAGGAAATTAGTGTTTCCTACGAGGAGCCAACGCGAGCTGGAATTGGATCGGATAATGTTGGTAATAAATTGTTGCAAAAAATGGGTTGGAGCGAAGGAATGGGTTTGGGAAAATCAAATCAGGGAAGAACAAGTATTATTGAAACGGAGCGTCGAGTACCTACTGCTGGATTAGGAGCGAAAAGTTCTTCCTACAATGCCTTGCCTGGTGACACATACAAGGATTGCGTCAAAAAAATGATGTACGCTCGCTATCAAGAATTATCCGATACGTAAGATTTTCTTTTCTTTTTTTGGAATTTGCAATTTTATATTCCTTCAACAAGCATCTGATCAACAATTTTCTATCCTTGTATATCTATAGATTGAAAATGGATTTTATCCAGCAAAAAAATTGATTTTATTTTACACATTTTTTTCGATTTATCAAATATGTTTCATAGGGAAAATGTTTTAAAGATGCCTGGATATACATCATTGCTTCTAAAATCAAATTATGTTGCGAAATCATTCTAAACGAGCATGTACAGTATTTCAAAAATCGTCAGGTAAATGTAATTATAAAGTATATTTACTTTGATATTTTTTTGTTTTTAGAGTAAGTTTCAAAACTCCAAATAATGTCATAAACACAGTGTACATAGAATTATTTTCTTTTTTTTGGCGTATAATTTTTTTTATGTAAATTTAAGAAATCAATTGTTGGATATGTAATTTTTTTGTTCTCACTTAATATGAATTTAAGAATACTTTGTATTATTTGAAGAAATATGCGCAGGTTTTCACATATAGTCTTTTACATACTATTTTGAAGCTGTATAATTTTTTGAATATTTTTTTATTACGAAATTTGCGAACTATTGTTAGTTTGCAATGTATGTTAAAGCGGCCATTGCAAAAGTGTAAATTCACTTTCTTCTTTTTTAATCGGGGCTGAATTTATGTAATTGAGTGATGGGAAGCATCAAATAAAATGTTAAAGCCAATGAAAATTTGTTGACTTTGAGTGTTAATTTTCCTTTAAAATTAGATTTGGTCTCGTTTCTTGGCTTATAAATTTGGAACATTTTCTCAAATTTTAATATCATATTTCTCTTTTATAATATTTCTAGTCTTTTCTTATTACAATTTAAAAATTTTTTAAGATAAATTATTATTATTATTATTATTTTGTAATTTAAAAATTTTATATTTTCAAGAATAAACGTCAATTTTTGAATGATTACAGATTCAAATTTAAAGAATTCATTTATTAAGTGCATAATTAAATATTATTGTTTATTAATTTTCAAAAACTTTAAGAAATTTTTTAGCAAGAATTTCATTATTTTCATAAATAATACAATTCTTTAGAGGAATTTAATTTCTTTCAATACAATTTTAATAAAATTTCTCGAAAGAATACAATTATTTTTAAAAATATTAAGTAAATTCCATTATTTTCAAGAATTTTAATATAAATTCAATTATTTTCAACAATTTTGATATTATTTAAAATTTTTTTTTTTTAAATTCCTTCAAAAAATTCAATTATTTTCAAAATTTTAGATAAAATTCTTCGAAACAATTCAATTATTTTTATGAATTGTAAAATCCTCCGCAAGAATTTAATTATTTTCATAAAGAAGAAAATTCTTCGCAAGAATTAAAATATTTTCATAAATAATAAAATTCTTCAAAGGAATTCAATTATTTTTATAAATAATAAAATGTTTCAGAGGAATTCAATTATTTTCAATCCAATTTTAATAAAATTTCTCGAAAGAATACAATTATTTTTAAAAGCATTAAGTAAATTCCATTATTTTCAAGAATTTTAATACAAATTCAATTATTTTCAACAATTTTGATGAATAGGTTTCAAATTTTTTAATAAAATTCCTTCAAAAAATTCAATTATTTTCAAAAATTTAGATAAAATTCTTCGAAACAATTCAATTATTTTTATGAATTGTAAAATCCTCCGCAAGAATTTAATTATTTTCATTATTTAGAAAATTCTTCGCAAGAATTAAAATATTTCCATAAATAATCAAATTCTTCAAAGGAATTCAATTATTTTCATAAATAATAAAATGTTTCGGAGGAATTCAATTATTTTCAATACAATTTTAATAAAATTCCCCTAAAGAATAAAATAATTTTTAAAAATATTATTTAAATTCAATTATTTGCAACAATTCAATTATTTTTATAAATTGCAAAATTCTTGGCAAGAATTCAATTATTTTTGTAAATAATAAAATTTTTCCGAGAAATTCAATTATTTCCAATACAATTTAAATTAAATTTTTAGGAAAAAAATTCAATTATATTCAAGATAATTTTAATAAAATTTCTCTAACATATTCAATTATTTATAAAAATTGTAATAACATTTTTCTAAGAAATTCAATTGTTCTCAAAAGTTCTTAATCAAAATTCCTTGTAAATTTCAATTATTTTTAAAATTTCCAATTAAAATTACTTTAAAAAATTACATTATTTTTACGAAATTTAATGAAATTATTAAAAACAAGTAATTATTTACACTTTACAGAAACTCTAATAAAATTGTTTAAAATAATTAAATTTTCTATGAATAATTTTAATATAATTTAATAGGAAAATCGTTAATTACAAATTAATAATAAACACGATTTTAAAAACTAAAAAAAATTCTTCTTAAAATTCAATTATTTTAAAAATTTTCAGGAAAAATTATTAAAAAAACTTCACTATTTTCAAGAATATTGAAATAAATTCTTCAAAACAATTCAATTATTTTAAAGAATTTGAATAAAAATCTTTCTAAGATTTAAATTATTTTCAATACAATTTTAATTACATTTTATCCAGAGAATTCAATTATTGAAAAAAATGTTGATAAAATTCTTGAAAAGAATTAAAAATAGAAATTTTGAATTGAGAGTTAATTCGTTTTAGGAAATTTAATTTAAAACAAAACAAACATAACTTATAAAATTTTGCCAACTCGTCTCTTCGCGACGCTCTCAAAATAAAAAAAATTTCTTTTGGACCTTTTTTCGATGTCAATAATAATTTTGTTTTACATTTGCAGTAAGTAAGTAATCAGTGTTAATTTGTACAAATTGGATTTTCTCCACGGGGATAAAATAATCTATTTTGATCATACGCCTATATGCGGTGAACAAACGATAAAGAGATGATCCGCTTGTATAAAATTTTAAGGACATGCGAAAAGAAATAATAGATGATTGTTTATGCGCCTACTTACGACGTTCTGCATGACTGATATCTAAATGAATTAGGCATTGGTATTATGCTCAAGCACAGGTGCATCGTACTGACCCCTGACGTATTGTGCAAGATGCGACACTCTAATAACATCCGTATAATTATGCGGCATAGACGTTCCTTGACTGCGGGAGGCCAGCCGGTGCAACCATTTCTAAATACCCCTCAGTCACGCATCGACGAGGGGAAAACGCCTTTATATTATGCGTCATTTGTTACACGATCTATCAATGAGAACAACACGTGGATACGAAGGGATATCCCAGATCAAAAGTATTCCTGAAAGAATGCTGCTCAATTTTGAGGGTATATATTATATGCTCCTCAATCTAGATGGAAAAAAATTCTGGAATTTTTTACCCCTCTCCTCTGTTGGGGATGGAGCTTTTTAGTATTATATGCGTAGATATAGGAGACAAAAAAAATGCTTTGCTGGCGAATGTCCCGGATTTATATTCATTTTATTCAATTTTATTTTTGGAATTTATTTAATTATTTTTTTTTCGAGTTTGCTGTTTAAATTCATGAATATTATTCTGATTGTAATTAGAGTAAAAAGCTAGTTTTACTTACTTTTCAAAACCAAATTGATCGGATATTCGGATTCAACATTTTTTGCGATTCTTTTCGGAACTGGAATTTCTTGGCCTTTGGAGTTGACATCCAGAAAACACTTCGGCACTTCGGTAAGTAAAAATTATGTTTTCCGAATAGAAATATATTTACGTTCATATTTAGAAATAATAGTTTGCAATTTATCTATCTTAAAATATATAAAACACTTTAAATAAACTCGTATTCGTGACTCGCTCCGCTCGCTCCAAAGAAAAACATTTGAGGTTATGTTTATAATTTTTTAAATGAAAGTACACGATTACCAACCTCCGATTTTCAAGTTTTAATTACATCTAAAGATTTTAAAGTAGTTAATAAAAACTGATTTTAGTTTTATACAATTTTTGTGCAAGCAATTGTAAGCAATTTTTATTGTTAATAATTTTTTAAATCAATATTAAAATTATTTTAATGATTTTAATAAAACTGCGTTTTTGAAGCGTTTGAAATATTGCGCCGCTATTAAAATTAATCTGATTGGTCCCCCAATTTAGATAGGTATATTTTGAGTTGTTAAATTGGTAACACTGGTCTAAGTAGAAGCAAAATGGCTGCCTTTCATCTGCTGTCAACTCGAGTCAAAGTGTCGTGAATTTTTACAGATAAATAAAGTTTTATACAGCCAGCCAGCTAAATTTTCTGGTTTATCAAGTTCAGATCGTGTTGCGAATCACTATGAATAAGTAGATTGAGCAGATTGCGGAAGATGTGGGAGAAAAATAAGTATTTTCGACACGACACTGCGCCCGACCATGTCCGTGACTTTTAGGTAAATTTACGTTTAAATATACAATTAAAAGTAAGTTTTTCACAAATTATTCTTAAAATATTGTCAAAATTAAATAAATATATAAGTTTTTATGGTTTTTGGTAATTTAATAAAAAATTATTATTTAGTATTAAAATTCTTAATGAAGAGCAAGTTGGCAACACTGGCGTGAGCTAAGTAGAAGCAAAATGGCTGCCGTTGTCAATGCGAACATCGCGTCAGTCTCGTCAAATTCGCTCTGAATCGAGTTTTTTTTGATAATATTTTGTTTAAATATTTAGTTTATCTAGTGTAGGGCAATGTTCCGACTAGATATGAATAAACAGTTTATGTATATTTCGGAAGATATGCGAAAAATAAGTGTTTTCCAAAAGCCGCAAGGTCTGGCCGTGTCGCGTCTTGTAGGTAAATTTTTCATTTTATTTACATGTCAAAGTGCCCCTTTCACTATTATTTTCAATTATTTCATAGATAATCTAATAAATTTAATGACTTTTGTAATTCTAAGCTAAACAAAGATCATTAATAGTATGTGTAAGAAAGTTTACTCTGCGCATGCGCAGACGGGAAATTAGCAAATTGTTGATTTTTTTTCGTTTTTAAGGGCATTTGAACCTTGATGACGTCACACATGCTTTGCACAAACTGTAACGTCATCAAGGTTCAAATGCCCTTAACTACAGATTATTATTTTTTACATTGAAATTCGTAAATGAATAATTATTTACCGTCGCTTTTACTATTTTCCCTGTAAGTGGTAATACACTTGTTGAGAAAATCGACTTTGCACATAAACAATCACATTGACATTTGTTATACTACAAAATGTCTATATTTTCCTAAAGTGATTGTTGTCAGTATTCCTTTTAGATTTGTTTTTTAACAAAACGTCATATTGCTTGAATAATTTAAAAAAATTTTTTTATTTCTGAATCATATATAGAGGAAATAACAAAGGTTGTATAATTATTAAAGAGGTTATCCTCTTTCGATCGTTGTATAATTTTGTAAATTATATGTCTAATTTATGAATGATTCAGAATTTTAATTCTAATTTCAAATCTGCAATTATCGTTCAAAACATTTAAATTGTAGTAAAAATATTTTGTACTTTTTTATAGCGTTTAGAAATTTCTGAATAATTATTCAGAAATATTTGAGTATTTCGGTGTTTTTCCTAATCCCGCACTGAAAAAAATTTATTTAATTCAAATAAAAACATAAGAAATTTATTAAATAAAATAATTTATTATTTTATTATCGAATGAATATTTACATAAATGAAATAATTTTCATTTAAATCAGGTAAATTTTTTTTGCTTCAAATAAGTACTAAAATTTTTGTCTCAA